TATTGATTTCAGAGAAGAAAGGAGAGGGAGAGTTAGAAACATCAATGATGAGCGAATCATTGATCAGCTGCCTCCTGCACACCCCCCTACTGGGGATCGAGCCCGCAACCCCAGCATGTGCCCTTGACCGGAATCTAACCCGGGAACCTTCAGTCCGCAAGCCGATGTTCTATCCACTGAGCCAAACTGGCTAGAGCTGTTTTTATTGATTTTAGAGAGGAAGGGAGATGGAGAAATAGGAACATCAATCAGCTGCCTCCTGCATGCCCCCTACTGGGGATTGAGCTGGCAACCTGGGCATGTGCCCTGACAGGGAATCAAACTGGCAACCTCTTGGTACATGGGTCAAAGCTCAACCACTGAGCCACACCAGCCAGGCGAACTAGGGGAGATTTAATGGGGGCATGGGCCAGGGGCCAGAGTGGTAGCAGTGGGAAATGGTCAGATTCCAGTTATGTATTCAAGCCAACCGGATTCATGATGGCTTGGACAGAGGATGTGAGGAAAAGGGAAGTCCAAGTTGACTCAAGCTTGGCCCAGGAGGCTGTTCAGTGTGAGCTCCACACTTCCTCTGTATTTATTGCCTTTTCCTGCTGCCCACTGCATCCTGAGCTCCAGGCACCCCTGTTTGCCCTCTCGCTGTTACCAGGTTGATCTTGCCCCTCTTTTCTGGTGAACTATGCATGCTGAAACCCAGCCGGTGGCCAGAAGTCTCACCAGTCTCCAAAGGCGGAGCCAGCCCACCTGTTCCTACTTGTAACACTGAACTCATTGTATCAAATCATGTTTTAAAGGGTCTGTCCTCACTGTTTCTTGGTATGTACATGAAGGCAAGAATTTAGCTCTGGGAACTGAACAGAAGAGAGTCTGAATCACAGCTTACCCAGGTCCTAGCTGTACGATACAGAACAAGTTCCTGTACCTCTCTTAGTTTCACTTCCCACCAACTCTCAGGACTGTTGAGATACAATGTATAGTAACAATAGGACAAATGACCAAGCAGGCCTTATTTATATTGGTTCCCCAAGAGCCCAGCCTACTGGCAGGACAAAGCTCAGCTATTAGGGATCACATTACATGGACGGTGGCCATTCCAGAAACCGAGTTCTCCTCCCCCTGGAAGTTCCCAGACATTGCCTGAGATGAGGATAGAAATGCATCCAGAGCACTAAAAGGGGAGGTAGGAGCCTGAGGACCCAGTGCTGGCTCTGCCACTGGCATTGGGGGTCACTCTGGGGCCTATTTTACTCATCTTTCAGTGAAGAATTATTGTGATCCTCGAATACACCTCAAATCATGTCTCCTCCCTGGATATAAATGCTTCGGTGGCTTCCCACTGTCCTCACTGAACAGTCCACCCTCTCAGCACAGTCGCTTCACCATTTGACCAGTGCTATCCGCATCTTTCACTGCTGACCCTCTCACGATCTTCAAGACAGTCACCAGGAATTACTTCAGGTCTCAAGTGCTCTGGGCTCCCTCTTGCTTCGGGGCTGCCTTGAAAGCTCTTGCCTGGTCTGGAACACGCACCTTTCGCTCCTCATCATCCAACTTCTTCAAGACTCCACTGAGCACTCTGCTACACTGCAACTGCCACAGGAGGCTGGAGCTCAGTAGGAACTCGGGTGGGGACAGGAATCCTGGATTTAAAATTATGCAGATTAAAGGTGCGGGGCTGAATGACGTTATCTAAGCATCCTTAATTAGAGAAACGGTCTGCACTTTTTTGAATGCACACCTTCAGAAAAATTAGGTATGCACCTCCAATATACTCTACAGATAGGCACTTTATAAAACATACACAAAGATAGAAATTTTAAAAAATGAAATTATATTGAGAGCCCCCCCCAAAAAAATGAAATTAAAATATGTATGCATAGTAGTTCTAATTTTTTTTCATTAAAATTTGGAAACCATTGATTTAAACTGCATAGGGGAGAAGCTGACAAAGTAGCCACAGAGATAGGAAAAACCAGAGAGTGGTGTCACAGAAGCAACATGATGTGTTTCAAGGACAGTATGACCAACTGTGTCAAACGCTGCAGGGAGGCTGAGAAAAATGAGATCGAAAATCATCCATTAGATCTGGCAACCAGGAGGTCATAGTGAGTTATGGGATCCTTCCAAGAGTATTTATGGGGAAGAAATGGGATGGAAGCCTGACCAGAGTGGGTTGCAGAGTAAATTTGAGTCTGGACTTTCCTGCTGAGCTCAGACACCTCCCTGAGCTCCTCAACTACCTGCGTGGCGCCTGCAGTTGGATGTCCCTTGGACATTTTGGAAGCAACATGTCCAAACTGACCTTCAGACTTGCCTCCCCTTAATGTGCAACCTCCTTCAGTTTTTCTCATCGGAGTAATAGCACCTCCACCAAGTCAGGTATATAAGCCAGAAATCTCCCTCATTCATCCCTTATGCGCAATCCATCAGCAAGTCCTATCAGCATTATCTTAAATATATATTGAATTGGATCCTTTTCACCCTAAGCCAAGCCATCACCTCACACCTGGACCTCTTCAGTGGCTTCCTGACTGGTCTCCCTGTGGCCATCCTCTGATTAGTTCTCCAGATCTTGTAAACATATCAGATTCTAACACTCTCACTTTAAAAACCTTTCAATGATTTGTGGTTGCACTACAAAGAAATTCTGAGTGTCTGCCTGCCACATGTAGTGCTTTCCAACTCACCCAATTTTCTCTTGCCTCAAAGACTTTGAACTGCTTCTTTTGGGCCTGTTTTGCCAGTTATTCTTTCTGCCTAAAATACACTTCCTTCCAGCGTTGTGCACGATTACCTCAGCCTGCAAGGCCTTCCCATCTGAAAGGACATAACTTCCCTTGATCCACTCTTCCACTGCCTCCCTGTTCTTTTCCTTCAAGCAGAGCACAACTCACAATGATAAATTTGTTTAAGGTCCATTTCCACTACTAAATGGAAAACTCCATGAGGGAAAGTTGGCATCTGTCTTGTTCACAGTTGAATTTCCTTATGTGTCTGACACCTGATCAATACTTGATGGGCATTGGCTTAATCAATACTGCCCCCTAAATATCTGCCAGCTCGCCACATGCTGTGGGTGCTACTCCAGCCTGCCTTGCCACCTTTTCTCATTCCTTTTCTCATAAACGTGGCCCACACAGAAGAGTCCTTTGGTCCCATACTCCTCTGCTCCCTACCTCTATCTTTGTTTACTGTTTCCTTCACACAGCAGAGTTCTTTCAAGGATCATCTCAAGCACTGTGAAGCATTTTCCCTTTTATTTTTGTTAATCCTCGCCCAAGGATATTTTCCCCATTGATTTTTAGTGAGTGGAAGAGAGGCACATTGATTGGTTGCCTCCCACACGCACCCCCGACCAGGGCCGGGGATCAAGCCTGTAACTGAGATACATGCCCTTGGTCAGAATTGAACTCAGGACCCTTCAGTCCACTGGCTGATGCTATATCCACTGAGCCAAATTGGCTAGGGCTTATGAAGCATTTTCTAACCCCTAATACATAATGTTCTGTCCCTTCTTTGAATCCCAAAGTATAGTGTAAGTACAGTTGTCCCCCTGTAGCCAAGCGGGATATGTCCTAAGACCTCCAGTGTATGCCTGAAACCAGACAGTGCTGAACCCTATATAGCAGTGGTTCTCAGCCTTCCTAATGCCGCGACCCTTTAATACAGTTCCTCATGTTGTGGTGACCCCCAATTTCATTGTTACAAATTGAACATAATTAAAGCATAGTGATTAATCGCAAAAACAATATGTAATTATATATGTGTTTTCCGATGGTCTTAGGCGACCCCTGTGAAAGGGTCGTTCGACCCCCAAAGGGGTCACGACCCACAGGTTGAGAACCACTGCTATACAGTTTCTTCCTGTATAGGCTCAATGCTCTCTGGCATGACAGGTTGCCATCTATATCAGAACATGCTTTCTGTTCATGTCTTCCACACACAAATTTAATGCCTTTTCCATCTTAACTAAGCACTTATCATGCACTGTGGCTGTATTAGCACGAATTTCTTCCACCTTCACAATTTCATAGATACATGTCCTTACTATAGATCTTAGCAACCTAAGCATGACTTTATTTCCTTAACATGTTAAGCGCCAAGCCTGTCTTGTCTTCCTTTCCATTTAGCCCAGGATATCTGATTTCATCGATATGCTGGCGGCACCAGTGACTGACGAGGTCCGGACGGAAAGTATAGTGTCAGTCACCGGTGACTGACATGGCGCTTAACGTGTTAAGTCAAGCACTTTCACTTTTTCACTTAAAAGAAGCACTTCACAGCTTCTCTTTGGCATACTGAATCGCCAGCATCACTACTCTTGTGCTTTGGGGCCATTACTAAGTAATGTAAGGATTACGTGAACATAAGCACTGCAAGTCCATTATAGTGGATCTGATAGCTAAGATAGCTACTAAGTGAGTAATCGGCTGGCAATTGGACAAAGGGATGATTCACATCACAGTGAGACAGAGAGGGATGGCAGAGAACAGCACACCTTCTAAAAAGTATAAATTGTTTATTTCTGGAATTTCCTCCTTTGTATTTCTGGGCCACAGATGACCATGGGTCACTAAAACTGCGTAAAGTGAAACTACGGAAAGTAAAGCCACAGATAAGGGGGGGGGACTACTGTAATGGCATTCCTCCTGTCCTGCCTTGCCTTAAACCTGGCTTCCAGAATAAATGAGTGCTCAATCAATTTGTGGAATGACAGGGCTGAAAACCACCACCCTACAGTAATCTTCAAATTCTAGTAGCCACGTGATGAGCTTATTAGAATACAGATCCCAGGCCTTGAGGAGGGCTTCCACCAGAATCTGCATTACCTCAAGCATTATTTATCACTCTGTTAGGAGTTTAAGAACCTCATAACAGATTAACTTGAAGTGAACATTATCCTCAGACCCAAAGCTCACTGGTCCAGTCTTAAGAAAGGGAGGGAGTTCCGAGGTTGACAATCCCTACCCTTCTTCCTCCAAGAGGTTAGATGAACAAAGACTCCATACTTCTTCGCCTTTATCTTTTAATTCCCTCCCTGTGTCACCTCTCAAAAATGTACCCAGAAATTAAACAGAAGGAAGCTCAAAGAGCCAAGGCAAGCCAGCCCAAGATTAGAAGGCTCCCTCCCACAGGGGCCAAAGTCTGGATGCTGGGGTCTCCGCTCAGAGCCTGGTAGTAAAAGCTGGTGCAGAACAAGGTGGTCCCGGAGGCTAGGAGTAGCCCGGCCTGAAGGAGACAGAGGAGAAAAGGCGATAAGCGAAGGGCAGACTGCGGAGTGGGTGGGGCTGGGTCAGGGTTAGGGAGGGGAAAGTTTACCCAGAGGGGCTTTCTGCAATGGGGCACCCCTAACAGGGCCAGGCTGTGTAGGAAGTGGTGTTTGTTGGCCTTGTCAAAGAGCTGGAAGAAGAAGAAAAAGAGTCATTGGGGTGAGGGGTGGACTTCCTAAGCAACACAGGCGCCTGGATCCCGAGGGGCAAAAGGTCTGAGTCTCAGCTTGCCCCTCCCGCAGGCACCCGACACCCCAGGCTTTCTGCCCTTGCAGCTGCAAAGACCCGCATCCCGCCCCTCCCCGCAGGGGACCCCCGACTCTGTGCCCTCATCCACCCGGAAATCGGGGAGCCCCACCGCAGTTATTTCACCTCCTTCCCGTAGGCATCCGGAAACTGGGCGCCTGTGGAAAGGAGAGGCAGAAGTTACCAGCTCTGACGCCCCAACTCCCGGGAGGACCCCGGTGGGCACCGGGGAGCAAGGGCACCCCCGGGGGGCTCCTCACTGGCGGAGACACTGGGGCGCCCTGGGAACCGGCTGGACCGGGCGGAGGGGCTCTAAAAGGCTGAGGGCTTCGCAGGCTGGCTGGTGGTTGGCAGCCCTCGCAATTCCCTGCACCAGACTCCATCCCTGCACCAGACCCCCCACGTCGCCCCAAGCACACCCAGCTCCATCGCAGGCCCCTGACCATGCGCCCCGTAGGAGGCCAAGCCCAGGGCCCCGGCTCCAGACAAGGCACCCAAGCGGCGGAAAGCAGCGCCAGGTCCGGCCATGGCAGAAGACGGTCACGAGCCCGGCGAACACCGCCCAGGCCACCCAAGAGGCCAGCCAATCCCGAGCTTCCATGCAAATAAGGTGCACAGGTGCCCAATCAGGGCCGTGTTTATTTCAGCGTCCAGGTCTTCACCCCGGTACTTGCGCCTTTGTAAAGCTCCTGTTGAATGGCGAAGGCGCCTGGCGGCGGAGAAATCAGAACCAATTAGGAGCGGAGGAGCGGAGCAGTGGGGGGTGGGGCAGGGGGGCGGTGCTAGAAGATTTGCGTCACGGATTGGCCCACTTTCCAAGTTGATCGCCTCTTCTCACACCCCCTCCCACCTCCGGCCGATTTCCAAAGATCCAGGTCCCCAAGCAAGTCCCGCCCCTTTCCCCACAGGCTCCTCCTTTTCAGCTTTAAACCAGGCCCACACCCCAAAACAGGCGACCCCACGGACACCCAAGCCCCACCCATCTCCATAAAACCCCGCCCGCTGTCCATATGGCCCCGCCTCCAGGCCCACAGGCCCCGCCTTCTTCACATGATGCCCCGCCCCCTTTAGTTCACCCCACCGCCACCAGCCGCGAGAGCCCCGAGGATGGGAGATCTGGGTGGATGTCTTCATCCTGCCCCGATCCGCTTCGTCCATGCGTCGGTCTGTCCACTCCCGCCCTCTTCCACCGTTTCCAATCCCCCACACTCTGG